TAAAAATTCATGGATATATTTTCTGAAGAATTGGGAGGCTGATGTCAAGAAATGACTCTAGAATGAAGAGATGGTCTTAGACTGAGCGCAGAAAGAGATGGAAACATGAACAAGGTCAACGGACAGGTCAAGCCAGAAGGTCTATGACATTGGCTTAAGGTGGCATTACAGAAGGGAAAGGGCATGGGGGCAGGGGTAATGTTCACAGAAATAGTGGCTGAGAACTTTGCAGAACTACTAGACGTGGTCATTCTTAGACTCAGGAAGTGGGTCCTGAGTCTAAGAATGACCAGTGGGTCCCCAGCAGTATAAATAAAAACCTCTGCCTACTCACCATTTAGTGAAAGTACAGAATTCCAAAAACAGAAGATCTTAGGTAGAGAGAAAATGTTAAAAAAAAATCCGGTTTATCAAAAGTACAGTGGAAGACAGTGGAAAGTGAATAATATCCTCCATGGACTGAGAGAAAAATAATCAGCTCAGCAAAACTCAAGAAGGAGGCAAAATAAGACATTCTTATCTGTGATGTGATTTATAATAAATTTATTTGGTCTTTGTCCTCCTTCCCGACACCAACCTCTTAAAACCCTTGGAATTTCCTGTAATGAGAATGATAAAAGTGTCTTGTTATTCATAGCAAACCCCTATCAAAATCTCTTCCTTTACCCCTGAGTTGTGGTAAATTTACTAGGGGTAACTATAGCTTTAGTCATATTATAAAAAAAGACTGAAGATTAAGCTGTGCCTTCAACTTGTCTTAACAAAATAACAGAATAGACTCAAAGAAAGTAGAAAGAAGGAAAATAATAAATTAAAAAATTTAAAAACCCTCAAACAGGAGCAATAAAACCAAATGTTTTGAGATCAACAGGGTGATGGGTATGGGAAGGGCCCAAGGTCTACAGGGGTCCAGAGCCCCCCACTCCAGTGCCCAGCCTTCCTAGGAGCCCCTCTCCTGCCCCCCTGCTGTGTTCTCCATGCTCCTCTTCCCAGCCATTGATTTTCCAAAGTGCTCATTTACAAATACATAGTGTGTCCCATTTTCTTCCAGGTTTGTCTGTGCGCTGTTTGTGTAGCTGAGATTTTGCCATGTATAATAGTTAACGGTTTCGTCTCCTGTATTTTTTCCTCATGTATCATGAGTGCTTGAACTCATGTTGTCACCATGAAAGATTTGGGTGACGTCCAGTATCTGGATGTCACTCCCGTCATTGAGCTAGGCTGTCGGTGGACTTCCGTGGGTTTCCTTGGTTCTCTTCTCTTTTTAGGTAAATAACACTTTGCTATAAGTCTTCCAGGTAGGTCGTGGGAGATGGTTTCCTCTTGACCCTGCTCTGGTGCCTTGGTCAGCCGGAGGTGTGGGTGGGGTGCTGGCCGGCAGTGGGTGGCGCACAGCCAGTTGTGCTGTGTTCTTGGCACTGGTGTGAGGAGCATTTATAAATAGCTTTGAAAAAAATTATGGAGTGGGGAGGCTGAGTCTGGGTGGGAAGGAAACCCCATTTTAAGAGGCCAGTGTGAGAGCTGAGTGGAGGCGGCAGATGGGCAGGTGGGTGCCAGGCGCAGGGAGTCACATGCCCTGCAGGAGACCCCCACCCCGTGATGCTTGTTTAGATCTGCTTTCTCAGGGGTGGCTCCATAGTGTAGTGGTTAGCACGTCTGCTTTACATGCAGAAAGTCCTGGGTTCATGCCCCAGGTGGAGCCATGGACCATACCCTGGGTGCATGCCCCAAGCGTGTGGGAGAGATGCCCTGCTTTCAGAGATTCAGTTCTAGGGCAAACGGCAACATCCATAGGCCCAGGGTGGAAGTGGGGTGGGGGTGGGGAATTAATGAGGGCGGAAAAAAAAGATCTGCTTTCTTTAACACTTTGCTATGAAGACATCTAACAGAAAGAGAGTTTTTCAGTAAATATCCCATGGACACGCCTGATTCTCAATGAGCTGCTGGGGCCATGCTCTTCTGGGTGTCAACCCCCCACCCTCTCACC